TCTTTCTTTCTTTCTTTCTTTCTTTCTTTCTTTTTGTGGGGGGGCGGGGAATATGCTCCAATCTATTTCTGAGCAGCAGCATGTTAGCTGGATCCTCCCGGTCGGTATTAGTAGGGTCTTCAGCCAACACGGGTGTGAGTGCGAGTGTGAGTTGGTTGTGTGTGGTGTGTGGGAGAGTGTTGCCTTTAGACACTGCTGTTACTCCATGTGGGTGGGGGAGAAAAGGGACGCGCAGTTACTGGCAAATGCTCTGTCGTTGTGTTAGCTGGGGCCCCACCAGTGGCCCCAACCCTGCATCCCCAACCACTAGGGCAAGGGCAAACCTGCAATCACCTCCCTCCACTGAGAGAGGTATCCTCCCTTCACTGGAGAGAGCTAGATAGCTATGCTTGCAGGGCTCCCCCGTGTAGCCTTAGGAGTAGTGGTACTTAAGACAGCCTATCTGGTTTATCCCCTTCCCCGCTACCATTCTGACTTCCCTGTCCCACCCTGTGTTATGCCTTTTCCCTGTAGTGCTCTGTGCCTTCCCACCACCTACCCCTCCTTCCTTTGTGATAACCATCCATCCTGCCCATCTCCCTGGCCCTGTCCCCTATGCTAAGCTTTTTTTTTTTTTTTTTTTTTTTTTTTTTTTTTTTATACACTGACTTTGTGAGCTTCTGCTACTGCTACATTGCATGTCCTGTTACTAGTCTGACTTTACTCTCCTGCCGTGTGTTTTCCCCCTTTCCCTGTAGTGCTCTCCGTCTGCCCACCGTCCTTCCTCTGTGATAACCATCCATCCTGCCCACCTCCCTGACGGCGTCCCTGTTTTTGAAACAATGGCGGACGCGGAAGGTTTTGAGGTTGTAAAGGCAAAAAAAACACTCGTCGGCAAAGAAATCAGGCGTCGACTTCGAAACGGCAATTTCGGTCGAAAAGTAGCCGTCGGCCTTTTTTTCTTCTTTTTTATTCTCATCTGGCACCACGGCCGCCCCCTGTAAAATATGACACCCGGCCTGACACCACGGTCGCAGTACTTACTTTGCCGTTTCCGAACATAAGCCTGGTTTCTTTGCCGGCACATGTTTTTTTTGTCCCCTATGAAACTCTGATGTGACATGAACGTACTTCCCTCTTTTTTATTTTTCTGTTTAACCACCAGCACTTTCCCCAGCCATTTTTGTACGACGCCTTGTGCACACAGTCCCATATGGCGAGATGTACTTGCCTAATACATCCAGGCAAAACCGGCTGTGCATGCAAGTACTGGTGGTTTGATGGCGCCCCTGCTGTGACAGCCAGACAGGTGGGCCCTGAACTTAAGAAGCAGACATTGATGGAACTAAGCTGGTAGAGAGGGCTTTAGAGAGGGCTTTAGTGAACTTTAAGGGGAAGGGAGGGACAAGAAGGAGTGCAATATGGGCACAGACTTCGAACTCAGGTCTTTCTTAAAGTGAGGGTGGAGGTCAGGAATTGGGAGGCTGGCTTGTGATAAGCCAGGATCCGCACGCGGCGGTTTCCCGTACCCCTACGGGAAAATCCCACGTAGAACCCCGAAGTACGGATTCAAGATAATGGGGAAAAACGGTGCTTCATTTTTCTTCTTTCTTTTTCTTCTTCTTTCTTTTGCTTAGGAGGGGCAGAATAGAAAATGAAATTCGGGTCTTGCGTGGCCGGTTAGTGTCCGTGCCAAGAAATTCAAGAAACAGCTGGGACTTAGTGAGAGTAGGAATTTTGAATTTTTGGGCGCATGGCAGTTTTTGAATTTTTGCACGCCGTGTAAGCCTGTTCTCCCGCTTTGCATCCCCGTACCATCTTCCCTTCTTGCTGGGCATCTCCCTCCTGCATGTCTCTTTGTCTTCCCTCTAAGCGAAGTCCGATCCCCTCCTCCTCCTTTCCCTGCGAACGATTGGCTGTCTGATTGGGATGGTCGGGCCAATGTGGTGGCTGCGGGAAGCGCACCCCACTTGAACAACCACCCCAATCACGCAGAACATTCGATTCGCCTCCTTCGACCCTTCTGGAACATCTGCCCTTCTTCTGTCCTGACCATCTACACCCCGCGCTTCACGCAGCCTCTCCGCCGCCTTCCGTGCTATAAATTCCCGCAATCCTTTCCTCTCGCTCTCTTTGGTCTCGGCTGCAAGCTGCGCAAGCTATGCACGAAGCCCACAGCGCCAGAAAGGCTCGATGTGCCCCGTGGTGGGTGGAGTGACGGCGGGTGGCGGAGTTAGCGGTAGACTTGGAGTAAGGCAGTCAGAGGGACTGAGCAGTGTGGAGATCAGACGCCGACCGCGGCAGGGCCTTGTGGCTATGGTTGTCGGTGGTTTGACGGATTGGGGACTGGGCCCGGAGTGGCCAGTTGAGAGGATTTTGTATTTTTAAGACGAAGCTTTTTCTCCATTGCTGCTTTGTCCCCGTGTGATGT